AGGGGGATCATGTGAACTTAACCCCCCAAGGAGTCCTACCATACCCAGGAGCAGAGAAAGCATTGGTGGGAGAGGAAAAGGGGCTACCCGAAATACCGGAGGAATACCAAGACCTTGCTGAAGTTTTCAGTGAGGAGCAGGCAGATGAGCTTCCCCCTCACTGACCCACAGATTGTGCAGTAGAATTCAAGCCCAGGGCAAAACTCCTGAAGCCCAGACTATACTCTATGAGCCCTAAAGAGAAGGAGGAAATGGAAAGATTCATAAATAAAAACCTAGAAAGAGGGTTTATCGAACCTGCCAAGCCTAAGGTAGCCACCCCGGTCCTCTTTAGAGAGAAGAAGGATGGCACTTTGCGCTTGTACGTGGACTACTGCACCCTGAATGCAATAATAAAAGTAACCTATACCCCTACCCTTCATGAAGGACAGTTATCTCACCTATCAAAAGGAAGAATTTTCACTAACTAGACTTAAGGGAAGCGTATACGTAAGCATTTACTCATTAGGATTAAGGAAGGGGATGAATGGAAAACCGCATTTAATTGCCCAATGGGATGCTATCAATTCAAAGTTTTGCCATTTGGACTACAAGGCCCCCCCGCAGTATTTATGCAATTAATCAATAAGGTACTAAGGGAGCACCTATTTAAGGGGGTCCTGGTTTATCTAGACGACCTCCTTATCTTCACCAAATCCAAAGAGGAACATGTCAACCTAGTCAGAGCGGTTTTAAAGAAACTGTGAGCTGCCCACCTATATGCCAAATTATCAAAATGCGCATTCCACCAGGAAAGAATAGACTACCTGGGTTATCGCATATCCACACAGGGCATTGAAATGGATCCCAAGAAGGTCAGGCAGTACTAGAATGGGCACCACCTCACACAAGGAAGCAGTTGCAAAGTTTCCTGGGTTTCTCAAACTTTTACCACCAGTTCATCCCTTCATTCACCCAAATAGCCCTGCCTCTCACAAACTTACTAAAAATGAAGGGAGAATCCTCAGTTAAACCCAGCCAGCCACTAAAATGGCATTTGAGAGGTTTAATAGATTCTTTTCCACCAAACCCGTACTGAGGCACCCAGATACAGATAAACCTTTCATAATACAGGCGGACGCAAGCGATGTGGCAGTGGGGGCTGTACTATTACAAGAAAACGACGAAGGGGTATTGCAACCGTGCGCATACACATCCAGGAAACTCACCAAAATGGAACAGTGCTGGCCTGCGTGGGAAAAGGAGGCATATGCTGTGAGATGGTTGTTACTTACATGGCGCCATTTCCTTGAAGGGAATAAAATCCCTTCTCAGGTCTGGATGGACCACAAAAACTTGGAAGCCTTAAACACACACAGGAACCTCACTCCGAAGCAAGTTCACTGGTCCCAGCATTTTCACCAATTCCATTTTATGCACAAATACTTGCCGGGGGAAAGAACTTCCTGGCAGATGCACTGTCTTGCATGCCCCAATATAACAGCATGCGATCCACCAATTCTAAACCACTCATGCCTGAACCACAACTTGCAGTGCCAGTAATCACCAGAGCCCAAGCTAAAATAAAGCTGCAGCTGGATAGCCAAACCGGAATCGAATTCCGGAAAACTTTGGAAACAGATGAATAGTTCCAGAAAAATAGACACATGTGCACAATCAAGGACAGACTGCCATGGGTGGGGGAGAAGTTATATATACCAACCACCAGAGGGTCACTTTCATGCAGCTATGACATGATACAAAATCAGCAGGGCATTTTGGATTTGTAAAAACATTATATTTAATTAAAAGGCAATTTTGGTGGCCATCCATGAAAAAGGACATAGAAAATTATGTGGCCAGCTGCCCAACTTGCGCAGCTGCTAAGAGGTTGCAAGGGAAATCGCCCAGACTGTTACAACCAGTGGCAAATCCCTTAGTCCCCTGGAAAGAAATATCCATGGATTTTATAGTGGAACTACCAGAAAGCAATGGAAACACTGTCATCTGGGTGGTTATGGACCTGTTTTCCAAACAAGTGCACTTTATCCTTTGCCAAAAGATTCCCACCATAAAAACCTTAGCAAAACTATTTGTGCAGCACATCTACAGACTGCATGGAGCACCGCAACGTATCATATCTGATAGGGGAGTGAATTTACATCAGAACTTTGGAAGAAATTTTTATCCCTCTTAGGAACCACTCAGGGACTGTCATCTAGTCATCATTCTCAATGCAATGGACAGGCGGAACATTCGAACTCAGTACTTGAGCAATACTTAAGGTGCTTTATTAATTTCCAGCAAATGAATTGGATGGACCTACTCCCTTTTGCAGAAGTTGCTTACAATAACGCAGTCCACTCCAACACAGGCTACACTCCCTTTCAAGTAGCCACCGGTCAAAGTTTATCCCTATGCCAGAACTGACCCCAAATGACCCCAAATGAACCACTGACCCCAATGAATATCCATTGCTGAAAGAATGGATATCACAATTACAAAACACCTGGCCAATAGTTAGAAAAGCCTTAGACGAAACTAGGCAAGCATACAAAGCACAAGCGGATAAAAAAAGAGTCGAACCTATACCATTCACTGTAGGAGAAATGGTATATTTGTCTACAAAATACCTAAAATACTTACAACCCTGTAAAAAACTGGGGCCAAAATATATAGGACCTTTTTCAATTAAAAGAATCATAAATCCAGTAACAGGAGAACTAGAACTACCCAAAAATCTCAGGCAAATAGACTCAATTTTTCACTTGCTGAAACAGTTGCCCTTATGACCAAAAATCCCTGCCCCACCACCTCCAATCATGGTTGAAGGAGAATAACACTTTGAGATAAAAGAAATCCTAGATTCTAGGAAGTATCATGGGGCAACTCAATACCTAGCAGCATAGAAACACCTTCCCCCCTCACAAAACGAATGGGTCCATCAACGTCATGTCAGAGCACCTAAACTGCTAAAGACGTTTCATACAGAATATCCCAACAAACCAGACTAACCTCTATATCTGTTTTGTTTTCCCTACAGGTGGATCTCTCTTATTTTTAAGGGGGGCAGGATCTCAGAACCCATTCCTACTTCATTTCTACCTATCCCCTCTGACCTAAAAACAAATCTTACCTTCCCCTGGGTTCTGCCATACTTCCAAGGGGGAGGGGTGATGTGAGGTTATTGCTTTCCCTTCCTCTATTTGCTACAATGTAATCTTTTGCTTCGTTTATTGCTTCTATGTTCGTTGCCTGCTATAATGTAACAATTTGCTTCCTGCACTGTATCTCTCTCTGAACTTTCTTCTCCCTAACCCAGTGGTGGTGAACCCATGGCCCGGGTGCCAGAGGCGGCACTCAGAGCCCTCTGTGGGCACGCGCATTGTCGCCCCAGTCCTAGGCCTTCAGCTGGGTTTTATAAAACCTTTTCACTTTAGGCCTCCGCTACCGTGTGCAAAAAAAATGGTTCAATCAATCAGTCAATTTCAGCTTCTCGTGGAAAAAAAGAGCTCTTGCAAAGTTGGAATTGATTGATTGAACTTTTTAGTCCTACCCAGTCTGCTGTAACCACCACAGCCACGCCCACCCAATGGGCCATACCCACCCAATGGGCCACACCCACCCAGCACCTGATGATGCATAAGTGGGTTTTGGGTTGCAGTTTGGGCACTCGGTCTCTAAAAGGATCACCATCACTGCCCTAACCTGTCAGTTAGCAAAAGCGGGGGGGGGGGAATACAACCTCCAGAGCCTGGCTTATTTCTCCGTTCTCAAAAGGAGGTGCGGCTTGAACAGCACACTATGACCGGAGCCGGACCAATGTTATCTCCCCTTTCCCACGATGGACTTAACACCTGGGATTGGCCAGTTTGAACCGTCCGGATGAACTGTGGGGTGGGGTTTGCTTGAGGACACCTTAAAGTATCGATCTGCAAAGGAATCCCTCAGATCCTGTCTATTATGCCTGCCATCAACTACTTTTAATAAAAGTTCCTGTTGGAGGAAACAGTCTCCAAGAATTCTGCTTTCTTAAGATGTGGGATTGAAGTGGGTCCTTACAGAAGACCTCCAAGGTCCCTTCCAGCTCTATTCTATTCTATTCTATTCTATTCTATTCTATTCTATTCTATTCTATTCTATTCTATTCTATTCTATTCTATTCTAATCTAATCTAATCTAATTCTAAACTGATTTAGCCAGCAGTGCTGTGATCCAGAAGGAGTGAAGTTAACTCTCCCATCCAATCTGTTACTATGTTCTCTATTGATATGATCCAATAGAAGTGATTACTATTTCACTTTAAAATTTTAAAGCCACAAAATCTTGGACAGTCATGAATTATTTCCCTTGGCTCAGCTGCACTCACAGTTCCCTTCTACCATAAATGTCCCCCTTGGTCAGAAATATAAGAGTTTCTCTTCTTTTATGTTTTCTTTTCACACACGACAATTTAAACCAGCGGTCTCCAACCTTTCCAGCTTTGTGGACCAGCAGGGGAGGGAGAGGGGATGAGTCCGCGCAAATGGTGGGTGAGCAAGCACATGGACGCAACTCAATTTGCAGCAAGTGACAGGCACGCATGCCCTCTGCTCATACAAATGGAGCTGCCCACTGCTTCCTGGTTCTGAACTGGGCTGTAGCCTGGGGTTTGGGGGCCCCTGATTTAAATAATTAATATGCATAAATATTGTACTGCATTATTGCCCAGAAGATATTATCCTTTTAGATTTGCAATATAATTTAAGATATATCTGCTCAGGAAAAAAACTCTCATGGACTTCAGTGAGATTTATTGTACTTCCTGATATGCTGCAATTTCCTTAGTTTGGAAGCCAAGAGGATTTTCTGCCCCTTTTGCTATGTGTGTGGACCTCTTCTGAAAGCTTTATAACAAAGTTGACAGTTGCTTTAAATTAGAGTCTTTGGCTGCAGTCCAAGACAAAGAGTGGGAGTTCATTTAGCTAAAAAAGAGAATTGCACAACTTGGAAACTGAGCCTGGGGAAGGCTATTATTTGTAAGAACCTTTTTGTTTTTGGAAGGACTTGCATGAGTTTGGCACATCTTTATTTGCTAAAGCTTTTAAAAGTATTTTGCAAATCCAAAGGAAATATATGGTTTTGCTGGAAAATGTGAGTTCAGTGGCTCCAAAGCAAGGTAAGAGGCCGGCGATTTTCTTCTGAAGCTCTTTGAAAAGCGGCTAATGGGAAATGCTAAATGGAATGAACCTTGAAAAAAATACAGGTTTGTGCAAAAGAAGAGATGCTTTAGCAACCCAGTGGATCTCACAGAGATCTACATGCTAAATATCCAAAAATTTAATTCCAAGCAAAACTGAAGTTTGTTAATTATTCAGTTATATAAATGAAGATTTGTAAATGTCTGTTTATTTCAAATGTATGACTGTCATGTTCCATTTCACTAAATCTAGAATGCTTGCTTGTATATTAGCAAATATTTTGCTAGTTATGCAAATGATTGAGAAGAGAGAGGATAAATAGTTCTATTAATTTTCTTTTAAATTTCAAGTTGTTTTCTAGCTAGGATACAAAATAATGAAACTTTAGATAAAGACTAAATGAAATTTAAGGCAACTTATCTTACTTCATTAAAAAGTAGATATGCGATCCTGACTGGTGCAACCTTTATAGATTTAGAAGAAATTCATTGTTTCTCTTTTCTGGAAATAAACTGGTGCTGTGTTATTAATTAAATCCAGTATTTCCAAATTCACTTAAAAGGGTTGCAAAGCACAGATATTCTTTCTAGATTCTTCTCGGTCTAATTTGATGTTTTCTTGGGTGTGTCTGTAGACATTTTCATTATTGAGCCGAATCTGATACTACTGTATTGTTTTAAAAATTAGTTAAATGACTGCTGAAAAGTTCAAAAACTCCTTTGTCATGCTGCCTCAGTGCCGATTTAGGGAAGGGGCTAACACAACTGAGAGAGAGTTGGTAAATGTGCATGAGATTGGAATTAGGAGTGATAGGAAAGGAAAGAAGAGCTGGTAATAGGGTCTGATCAGTAACCCCCCAAATCCTATTTTCTATGATTACTTTATGTAAGGCTAGAAAAACAAATCAGACATTAGAGGAAGAAAAATGCCCAGTCCGGGTGCAATGGTACTAACAATGTATACATTTCACATTTAAAGTTTAACATTTCAACACAATAATTAAAAAATGTTGAGGCTCCAGCAGTGCTCAGTTGTAACTGTGGCTTTGAACAATGGCTTGGGAAATAGTTCTTGGTTTGCTCTCCAAGCCTTCTATCCAGTTTTCCCATGGATGGGAATCCAGTGAATTAGATTCTTGTTTAAGAATTGATTGTACTATCAATTAAATTCCAACCTGATTGCATTTTCCATCATGGACTGCAAGCATTTGGACAAATGCTAGAAGATAAGCAAGAAACATTGAAAGCTGTTGTTCTTGGCTGCCCCCTAGTACTCGTCCAGATTTTTGCATCCCAGCTTTGGAAGATTTGTATATAAATCCCCAGTATATCCTGAAACAGAATATCACAATATTGGATTACTCTGGACAGAATTGTCAGGAGTCTCATTAACAAGATGATGTAACAGCCATGTTCTACAGCAGGGGTGTCAAACTGGCAGCGCACAGGCCGGATGCGTCACCAGGAAACCACGCCCACCCCATTGCTGGCAATGGGAAAAAAGCTCTGATATGTCCCACGACATCACGTGACATCACAAGTTTGACTTGTCTGTTCTACAGGATAATAATAGTATAGATATAATATTGGTGGAGCCTACACACCAATGCAGGGTTTACAATCCTTACCCAAGCAGGAATTTCTCACTTTTAAATTATAAAGAGTGTTAACTTCTCCAGTATTTAGGAAAGGATACTTTATACCCAATTCTTTATATATATTTTATTAGTTTTTATAGGATTAGGGATAAGGTAGAGTCAGGACTGGGGTTGGGATTGAGGTTAGGGTTTTTTCAAATAACATTCTCAATATTTAGCAAACAGCATAATGTCTGGGTTCATGTGTTTTTAAAAAAACAATGAGTAATAGTTAATTATTATAAAAAATATGTTAATTAATTGCTCGATGGTCAAATTGAATGTTTCAATGAACCTGTTAATGAATGGCAGCTGGCATGGCCTCTAGGTGCTCCATAGTTATACGCATTATGAAGATGATGATGATGATGATGATGCAAAACTTGCTACTTAGGTGAGCAAAAAATTCCTTGCAGAATTCTTCTTGCTCAGAAATAATTTTACTGCTTCTTGCAGACACTGCAAGTTTGGTAACTCGCATAGAGTTTTATTAATCCCCAGGTCTGGGAATGCAAATGCCATTCCAAAATACTTAACTCCCACACCTGAAATACTGTATTTCATGGTCAATCCAGATATATATTTGGGCTCATTGTCTTGCTGAAATATCCTCCCTTTTTTCAGCTTCAATTTCTTCTTGTCTGTGGGAAAAGATTCCAAAATCAAGAACAAAATGACTCTTAGTAATGTGGAAGTTTAGACGCTGTTAATTCTGGCAAAGCTGTTACAAAGTGAAAGGTTGTCCAAACTTCTGTACCTGCCATATTAATTATTTTCTTATTTAAAATATGTAAACAACTGCACATGACTAGCAGTAAAGTTGCAAAGAGACATATTTAATGTTGGGCTATGTAGACATTATGTAGCTTCTCTTTACTTAGGGATTCATTAAAACATACCATTTTGACCAGGAATGCATAAACATTTCTATACAATAGTATCTACAAATGTGACTTTAATTCTTGTGAGTTCAATATTTAAAATTTGCTTAAGGTAGTAAGCTGACGATGGACAGAATATGGGTGTAAGGGCCCACTTCAATCCCACATCTTAAGAAAGCAGAACTCTTGGAAACAATTTCTTCCAACAGGAACTTTTATTAAGAGTAGTTGATAGCAGGCATAATAGACAGGATCTGAGGGATTCTTTACAGAGCGATATTTTAAAGGGTCCCTGAGCAAACCCCACCCCACAGTTCATCTGGACGATTCAGACCACCCAATCCCCAGGTATTAAGTCCTCATGGGAAAGGGAAGATAACATCAGTCTGGCTCCATTTGTAATACGATGTTCCACAGCTCTTCACACCTCCTTTTGAGACTGGAGAAATAAGCCAGGTTCTAGATATTTGTATTGCTCCCCCCCCCTTTTCCTAACTGCCAGGTTAGAGAGAAGAAAATTCAGAGAGATGCATAGTGCAGGAGGCAATTTATTACATTGTAATGGGCAGCAGACCCAGCAGGCAATAAACAAAAGGTTATATTGTAGCGAAAAGAGGAAGTGAAAGTCATATCCTGCAGGCATATCCCCCTTCCCTCTTGGGAGTATGGCAGAATCCAGGGGAAGGTGAGATTTGGTTTTAGATCAGAGAAATGAAATATAAATGGATTCTGACATTGGGTTTAACTCAGAGGTGCCCAACCCTTTGGCCATGCAAGCAGCAGGCGAATGTGCATGCATTGCTCACACAAATGGAGCTTCACAGGCTCATGCAAGTGCCTGCCACTTGTGCAAATGGAGCTGTTAGTGTGCACATATGCCACTCACACAAAACCATTTTCTCTCCCCCCCCCCCGCCAGTCTATAAAACCAGAAACATTGGGGACCACTGGTTTAACTGAAATATATATACAGGTATGGAATAGATGGTATCTGGCTCAACAGCAGTAACTGTCAGATGGATCTAGGAGTGCTAGTGGACAACCATTTAAATATAAGCCAACAGTGTGGTGCAGTTGCCAGAAAAACCAAGGCAGTCCTAGACTTCATCAAAGAGGTATAGCATCAAGATCACATGAAGTGTTAGTACTACTTTATACTGCATTAGTAAGATCACACTTGGACCACTGCATACAATTTTGGTCATCAGGATACAAAAAAGATGTTGAGATTCAAAAAAGAGTGCAGAAAAAAGCAACAAAGATGATTAGAGACTGGAGATTAAAACATATGATGAATGGTTGCAGGAACTGGGTATGTCTAGTCTAACAAAGAGAAGGAATAGGGGTGACATGATAGTAGTCTTCCAATATTTGAGAGGCTGTCACAGAGGAGAGGTTGATCTATTCTCCAAAGCACTGGAGGGCAAGGCAAGAAATAACAGATGGAAACTTACCAAAGAGAAAGCCAAACTAGAATTAAGAAGAAATTTTCTGACAGAGGGGGCAATTAATCAGTGGAATGACTTGCCTTTTATTATGTAATAATCTTGGAGCTTTGGGGCATTATTTGTATCAAGATTATTTCATTAAAGGTTAAATATGATTTTGGTTGGATTGTGCCCATTTATTTTATTTTATTTCCTGGAATCCAAGACTTGGAAAAGCTTTTTGAGCCCATCAACTCCAGGCCTCCTGCTCAGTGCAGGAATTTGAATCAGACTATTCAGACTCTGCTTGAATGTATCCAAGAAAGGAGAACCCACTACCTCACTGAGGAGGGGGTTTCACTGTTGGGCTGTCCTCCTGTTAAAAAGATTTTTCCCCTTAACAGTCACTCATAATCTCCTTTCTTGTATTTCAAATACATGATTTGTATCCTGCTCTCTGGAGTGACTTCATAACCCCTTCTTGTTGATTTGGGTTGGTGTTTCTCCACCAAAAGCTAAGGTTTGGCTTTTCTGTGAAAACAAGAATATCAATCCAAATATTTGGCTTCCATTGTTGCAATAGGCTGGCACTTGCCTGCCTAACTGTTCTATCAATACAAAATAAAGTTTTGGGGCCACATGCTTGGTAAGTGAAGATAATTCCAAAGTGGGTATTACTGTTCCCTTCGCAAAGCCCTAAGACTGTGCTGATGAACCTATGGCATGTGGGCCACAGGCGGAACACAGCCCTCTCTGTGGGCACATGTTCTGTTGCCCCAGTCCTAGGCCTTCAGTCCCATCCATGAGCAGCCTGCATCAAAATCTCCCTGGGCAAGTGGCTTTTTAAGCTGGGTTTTATAAAAACTTTTCACTTTCAGCCTCTGCCGCCATGTGCAAAAAAAAAAAGTTCAATCAATCAATTTCAAATTCTTGTGAGAAAAAAAAAGATGTCGCAAAGTTGGAATTGATTGATTGAACTTTATTTTTAATCCCACAGAGCGGCAGAGAAAGTGATGTGTTGGAGCTGGAAAGAA